GGAAACTAGAACCGAGGAGTGATCTTGATATTCTGTATAAGTTGATGTAACACCCTGATGCATTTCAAGGAATCCTGGGCATAAAAGGGAGGAGATGTTTGCAAAAGCCCTTGAGGGGATGGGGGGGAAAGCACAGAATCATCTGCCCCAGACCCTAACCTGGCCTGAGAAGGGGCACTTTAAAAATTCATAGGTTGTTTAGCTGTAAGTTCATCTGAGTAGCAAAACTGTCAAGTATTTGAGGTCAAAATCCTACTATGTTTAAAAGGAAAACAAAACTTAACATGTTAATAAAAGTATTCATTTGCTTGAAAAGAAAAAAGAAGTGTTTGGGAACTAGTGCCAAACAGGCAAAGGCTATAGCTACACCATCCTGAATTCTGGTGCTCTCGTGGTTTTGCTTTTTTAACATCAGCTATACTTTGACATTGGCTTTATTACACAAATCACTTTTAGCAATTGTCATCCAATTATGAAAACATTTAGACTAATTTTACCAGGCTATCTGGGATACTGCTATGAAATGTGTTTATACTTTTGCAGTCATGGCCATTAAGGGAAAAAGTAATAATTAGCTGTCTTCACCCAAGCCAAGGAATCAGAACAAGGTAAATTCATTTGAGGTAGTTACCTGTGCTTTCATTTTCCATCTTCCAGTTGGACAAACTAGTATAAGAGTACACAGGTTGACTACAAAATTTTTTTTCAACTAATAATAAAACCATTGCATCACTCTGCAGAATTAAAGCACCAAATGAGATCTCCTGAGACCCTAGCTCATTATACTTCTTCCTTTAGAATCTAAACTCTTACCAGCCAGTAGTTATCCATCCTACCTCTGCAGGCCTTCAACCTGTGGAACATTCTTTGTATCTTGACTCCAGTATAGCCAAGAAAAAAATGTAACACACGGTCAAGAACATAACCAAGAAAACTCACAAGCACACAAAATGCGACATTCTTCTAGGCTGTGAACACATTTCCCACAAGAACTTACCAACTCCATCTTTATTAAGTTAAAGCTATTGGGCTGGGCCTGGTGGCTCATGCTTGTAATGAGGTGGGAGGATCCCTTGGACTCAGGAGTTCAAGAACAGCCTGAGAACAAGACTCTGTCTCTACTAAAAATAAAAAACATTAGGCAGGCATTGAGGTGGGCGCCTGTAGTTCCAGCTACTTGGGAGGCTCAGGCAGGAGGATTGCTTGAGCCCAGGAGTCTGAGGTTGCTGAGAACTAGGCTGACACCATGGTACTCTGGCTTGGGCAACAGAGAGACTGTGTCTCAAAAAACCCCACAAAATCCCCCAAACCCCATAGTTACTGGTTATTTAAAATAGCCAGGATGAGACTTTTTCCCACTACATAAGCAAACTCTGGATTACAAGTTTAGGTTGAATTTGTATGTAACTCAGATCCCTGATGAACAATGGGCCAACAGTAATAAATAAGACTATAATGGCTCATATATGGTAATAATAATGAAGTACAATAACAATAATACTCCTCACTAAGTTACAGAACTATCTGTGCTTTCAATTCCCAGGCTAATAGGAATGTTACACTTATTTTGATCTAACCAAATCAACAATAACCTTTCCACTTCAATAATTAATCGACTACACTGCTCAGTAAAACTGGTGTTTTCACTGGAGCATTACCTTTCACGTGTCCCTATTCTCATTTCATCCTTTTTACTTGCTCTGATAGTCAAGCTACTACTGGTCGTGACCTGAAGGGAAAAAATGAAGGCTAGCATCTGGCCTTCTGAACACGACATCATTCCTACTTTCATTTCCATTGTAATCGCCTCTCTGTGTTCTAGGCTCCCTGGACTTGCATGGACTCTGAAGGCATAGTCATAAGGGTAAACACAGACTTAAAAATTGAATAAAAAAAGCTTAGAAGTGACCTAAACAATGAATGTATTATTGTAAAGATGCTGCACAACAGCTTGTGCCACCCAGGTTTGCGTACATGCAAAGAAACTAGCTCCTGAGTTATTACTTAATTATAAATTATCCTCAGAGGGAACTCTGGGACCCCACTCATAAGTACAGAAAATCCCAAGAAAATCAAGGGACTGCCTGTACTTCACTATCACTTTCAACTGACTTCAATTTAAGTTATCCTATTACTACAGTGCTTTTCAACCTTTTTTAATCTCATAGCACACTTAAACATAAATTTCTGCAGCACACTAAATTATGTTGATCGAAAAAAAGAGTAAAAAAAGGAATATATTTATTGTGCTTTGAACCTCTTTCAAAAATAATTAATGATCTTTAAAAATTTTCATAGCACACTGGTTAAAAATCACTGTATTACTGCCTGAATTTGAATTCAAATCATTGAAAAATCATTGTATTACTACTGAATTTGTTAGTAACGTCATCCTACTTCCTGTGAAGTAGTATCCTTAAGGCTAGTACTTAGCTTATTTCTTGATATGTGGCTTTTGCCTGTCAGTGATTAATTACCCTCATCACTTTTCTCAGTGGGATATATAATTCCTCTTGAAAGGCTAATTTTTTTAATAGCTAAATGGGGAGGAGGAATAAGCATTGATTAAAACTCTTTAAATCACAATTTTAAATGTACTTTTTTATTTTGATAAGTCAGCCAATTCAAATCCCCTAGTTACACTTTAACCATCGTGTAGTTATAAAAATTCAAAGCACAGCCTGTTTTTCTTTTGCTGACCTGTTAGTACTTTGAACATTTTCCATTTGTAAGACATACACAGATTTAGGTTTCTGGGTGAATGTGTTTTAGAACTTTTGCCAAGGCTTAACAAAATTTATAAACAAATGCTCATCACTACTGAGGTCAGCAAGAAAACTAATGCTGTGGCGGTACCACAGTTCAGCGGGCAGGGTGCTGGCCACATATACCCAGGCTGGTGGGTTCAAACGTGGCCCCGGGCCAGTTAAACAACAACTGCAACAACAAAAAAACAGCCATGCATTGTGGCGGGCTCCTGTAGTCCCAGCTACTTAGGGGTCTGAGGCAGGAGAACTGCTTGAGCCCAAGAGTTTGAGGTTGCTGTGAGCTGTGATGCCATAGTACTCTACGAAGGATAACATAG